ACCATATTTATCAAATAATCTCTTCAAGTCGTCGACGTGTATACTCGGCTTCGACTTTGCCAGCTCAGGAAAAACCCGATATAACCATGATGGGCGGGCGATATGACTAGTGTACCGACCTACATCATTGTGTCCAAAGCGTAGACCGGTGATTAAGCAAAACTCCTCCCGCCCAAAACAAGTATTCACCGGTGCCGGAGGAAAATGAAACCATATCTCCTCATCACCACGTTGTACCCCCTCGGGTAGATCGTTAGTCATGGTCTGAAGAAACAAATGTGTCAACATAGCATCTCCACCCGGATGTTGTACTTTCAGCCATGGCCCGAAGTAAGTATCCTCAAATAATTTTCTTTGTAGAGATGTAAGCGTCGACGCAATTTTAGTGGCTATGCTTAATTTATTCCTTAAGGTCAATTGAGCCGGAAAAAATTTCTACAAAAACAATAAACATACCAAGTTAGATATACCAAAAACTACAAATTATACACTACAAACAGACATGATATTAAACAGTGAAAACAAAGCCAAATATGTTTCAAACTAGCACGGTATTCACCCAAGTTATTATTCCATCATAGTTCACGAAATGTATCAGATAACATTCCAGAAGTAAGCACTTATATAAACATTTAAAACGAAAACATATAGGTTTAGTGCAGGTTCAAGGACAACATAAAGAATAGTAGTTTATTCTTGAAACTTAAAATAGCAACACTGTGAAGTTGGTATTTGTCTTTGTTTTTTGGTTGAAGTAATGCAATTCATTCAAGTTTCAATTTGCAGAATAAAAGAAGTTTCTGAAACTTAAATTCACAACGCGAAAATAAAAATCGCAACGCGAAACTAAAATCGCTTTGCGATTTTCATTTTCGCGTTGCGAATTTGGTGTTGTGATTTAGGGTTTCTTCAACAAAAATAAAACAAAACAAAAAGACAAACAAAGACAAATACTAACTTCACAGGGTTAAAGACTAAACAATTTAGCAGTATTGACAGCAACCGAATGAATTTAGCAATCTCAGTGAAATGGTTAATCTAATAATAATACAAAAATTTTAAAATAAAAATAAGAGATTAAAAAAACTAACCCTCGGTGGTTGATTTTTCATTTCTGACCGTGAATGGTTGTGAGGGTTGATCTGAGAGATGGAGATAGACGGATTTCGTCGGAAATGGGGACGAATTTCGTCGGAGATGGGGACGGATGTAGCCGTAGAGAGTGAGAGATGGAGATGGGACTGAGTTGTGCTTTAGGGTTTTAGGTTAGAGATGATTTACGATAATACTGTTTACATTTGTGTTGCGAAATTAATATTGTGTTTCGTGTAAAAACATTTGACTGTCGCGTTGCGAATTTGACTTCTGTGTTACGATTTACAAATTCGCGTTGCGAATTTGACTATCGCTTTGCGAATTTGACTTCTGTGTTGCGATTTACAAATTCGCGTTACGAATTTGACTTTCGCATTGCGAATTTGGAAAAGCGCAACGCGAATTACATATTCGCGTTGCGAAATTGGAAACTGGGTTACGAAATTGGAATTCGCGTTGCGAATTTGAGATCGCGTTGCGAATTTGTTGGTCATTTTGGCAAATCCAAAAAAAGTTGGTTAAATTCGTATATTATAAGACATTTTTGGTCAGTGAGGTTATTTTCTCTAAATAATATTGAACTAAAGGATTACCGAATATAATCACAAGAAAAAGAAAAGAAAAGAAAATCCTTATATCAACCTGTTGTTGGGGTTATTTGTTGATGATGTATAATCATCAGCATTCATCAATGATGCAATGAGTTGGTACAAGACGCTTTTCGACACCATAACGTGGATCTACCTCGTTATCAGCAGACTTGGATTGTTTCCTCATCTGGTCTTGTTCTTGATGACCATGATGCTTGTCAAATTTGGTAGCAACAGCTTTTCTACCGTTCAAATTATGATCACTGGCTTGTTTGCCATTGATATTGAAGTTGAGAAGGTGGAATTCATGAAGCAATAATAAGAGAAGAGAGAGCCAAAGAATGGCGAAGACGAGCAAATGGAGAATCGATCAGGGTTACAAGGGGAAGCGTGCATGGAAGAAAACCACAGGGGAACAGAGAGGATCAAATCTTTTAGGATTGTTCACATAAGGGTCTAACATTTTCAAATTATCAAATTAGAGCTAAACGTTTTTGAATATGTTCAAATAAAGGTATAACCTTTTAGAACGATAGAATAAGGGTTTAACATTTTAGCAGATCTGAAAACGATAGACCTCATCCAACTATTTTGAAAAGTTAAATTTTTATTTGAAAAATTAAAAAAAAAAAATAAACTGAGAGGTTAGACCCTTATATGAATAACCTATAAAAGGTTAGGCTTGTTTGAGCATTTAGCCTAATTGTTATTCTACAAAGGTATTTTCTTCTTACTGATTGCATATGCTTCTCTCTATAATTGCTTTTAGATATGTATTTAATTAATCTAATCACTCATATAGTTTTCCCAACAAATACCCCTCCCCCCTTCAGATATAAAGTTTGCATGCCGCAAACATGAGATATGATTGTAAGCGTGTGATCATTAGTGGGCTCAGATAAAAACATGTTGAGGATGCAGAAACATTACAACTCCCTGCTGATGAAGGTATGTGACATGAATTCTTATATGGTAACTACTTGTACCATATGGAACAATTTGCAGCAGTCGCCGGGGACTAGGCTATTTCACAAAGCGTGAATACTTATACAAGTTACAGTTAAAAGGCTTGGTTAGGCGAATTTCAATTTGATCATAATTCTGTAGACCTGCTTACTCAGGGTTGCTATTTTATGGGTTTTAACAGTTAAATTTGTTGATCTTCAGAAAGAAAGAGGCAAGCTTGGGGATCCATTTTCACAGATTAATTCAGTTGAATACATATAGTTACAGAGTTGCTTCCAGGTTTTACTCACTGCTTTAACACTATCAGGGTCAAAAGAAGAGGAAAATTAGAAACAATTCCAAAGGAAGAGAGATGATTGAGTTTTATTAATTGAGACGTAATATCTCCTAGCGTTTATGTAAATAATACAGTAATACACTACTGCAAGCTTCTTAACCATGTAATTCCCCTCCCCCTGGCTTCAAAGCAATCTGTTTTGCTACAAAAAAGGTATTCATCCATAACCAAGTTGCTATTTCTTAGACGAAATTAAGCAAAAGTTGGGGGTTAATGACCACTTTATAATAGCCAGAGGGAACAAATTAACTTAACGTCATTACAGAGTGGACTGATGTCATCATAGACCCTTGCGACAATTTTGGGTAGTGGCGCTGCCGCTATCATAAGAAAAATATATAAAAAAGGAGGACCAATGTAGGTAGGGCAGCCATGCGTGTGACCACAAAAAAGGTCCTCACAAAATACAAACCAACAATCCCAAAAGCACAAACAGTCGCTCCAATTAGCTTAAAATCTTTGTCTTGTCCCGATAACATACATTTTACAATGAAGGAATTATCCCTCCAACCTCATGCATGCCGATACATTGGTATCCAATTAACCATACAAGTTATTTTGAGTTTAACCATAGGGAAATTCCTATAACATCATAGGACAAGGAAGACAAGTGGAGTGTGTGTTCCAAGACACAATGATTGTATGGTGTTGGGTAAGAAGAATGTGGGGGATTCTATAATAAAATTAAAGAAAGAAAGAAATGAAAAAAAAAATTAGCTAAGGGTCCGTTTGTTTCACGTAAAATATTTTCCGAAAAATGTTTTTCTCACTTTTTAGTGTTTGGTTGGAGAAAAACAAATTGATCAATGTAAAAATATTTCACTGGTCAATAGAATTTCTTTTGCATTTTATAGAAAATGACTTACGGTTTAATTTTACGTAAGTCATTTTTCAAACTTTTCTCTTCAAACCATAAATAATATTATTTTATAAATTTAAATTTAATATAATATTTTAGAATCATTTTAATAAAAATATTAATTATTAACATATTTAAAATATATTTATTAATATTTTTAATAATATAATAATAATAATAATAATATTTCTATAATATACTCAATTATATTATAAAAATATATGATACTATTATATTATTATTTTAATAATATATAATAAAATTTATATTATTTATTAATTTCTTAAAAATAATATTATTAAATTATTAATAGTGAATACTTTTATTTATGTATTTAATATTAATATAATAGTCTAATAATATTATAAAAATTCCTTAAAATATATTTATTAATAATTTTAAAATTTAATTTAATATAATTTTTTTTTTTTTTATAGATATTCAGTATAACTTATCATAATTTTATTTTAATAGAATATACTAGAGTTAATATTTTTATTTATAAAATAATAGAAATAATATTTTAATAATAATATTGGTATAAATAGTATTAAATAAATTATTCTAATATTTTAAAAATAATAATATTAAGTTTTTATAATAAATATTATTATTTATTATATTTTATATTTGTAATAAATAATTTCTAAAAAATTTAAATTAATGAAAATGGTTTACACAACATCTTCCAAATACCATAAAATATTTTCTAAATTTTTTTTCCAGAAGATGTTTTCAGAAGTTGACCTTAGCCTATTCGGAATTTGGTCGGCATGGTGCTGCTTTTGTGTTTCCCATCCTCACTCTATCCACACTATTGTTATTTTAATTCTTTTGTGTATACCACTAAAGTGTATAAAATAAAAAATTAAAGGAAATTAACTATCCTACCCCAAGCAGATAGGTACAGGAACATGGGTGGAGAATGCCGTAAGAAGAACGGAAGTAGGAGAGTAGCAGTACTTGCAGAGCAGACTATAAATTTAGAATAGTGCAGGCAGCAAAACAAAAATTCAAAAGGAACCCAAAACACAACATTCCTTCCATCCAAGCACATATATGAAAAAGAAAGCTTGTTTTAAATTTGCAAAGGGTCCCTGAGTTCAGATTAGGTCAGATCTACCCACCAAGGCGTGGCATAAAATTAAGCTACCCAACCCAGTGAAAGTGATTGAGTCATCATTTATGCAAAGTCGTCCTATCCTTTTCTACCTTATTCCTTTTACCACCACCACCACTCAGAAATCATGGAGAAGTTTGAAAACTCCATCTATCAGAGGAAGGTCTCTCTCTCTCTTAGTCTTCGTCTTCATAACTTTTTTTCCCTCTAGGCTCCATCAGAGAAGCAAAAGAGTTAAGCAAGGGCAAGCTGAGATTATCATTATGTGTGCAAAGAAAGAGGAATATCAACCTATCCATGGCATACAAGCTTCCCAACTACACAACAATGGACATCCATTGGGAGTAAGTACGAGGGGCTTGGTATCGTCCACCCTACCATGGTCACTCCCTCCTATTCAGGCTCACAATCCAGTACCAGTCCACTTCAATGGAAACTCGGTTCTGGACAATGCCCTCGACCCTTTTCTACTCCCTCCGCCGCTATCATCATACGGGGGTTTATTCAACACAAGAGCTAGGATCTTAACCGACAGTTTTGGAGCTGTTGGCTCAGCGCCTTTGGGGCTACAAGCTGAATTGGGTAAGATGACCGCTCAAGAAATCATGGATGCTAAGGCTCTCGCTGCTTCTAAAAATCACAGTGAAGCTGAAAGGAGAAGAAGAGAACGAATCAACAACCATCTCGCAAAGCTACGCAGCTTACTCCCAAGCACCACCAAAGTAAGTTGTAGTCATTATTCATTAACGTGTATAGTCATGAAAAACAAGTCACAGAAAAAACCCTTATAAAATTGTCAAAAAGAAACCATTATAAATCATCACGCGTACCCTAGAATATTATATAGAAATGGGCGTGTCATGCACCTTTTGGGCACCCTTTTTGTTTTGTCTTATAACGAGTTTTTTTCCACTTCAAAGATATCTGTACATCTTCCTAAGATTCTATTTAGATGGTTGGTCTGATCAAAACCTACACATTTAGAAGCGAAAGATGTCAAATTTTCTTTTTGGCCCATCTTTTCCCTTCTGTTTTCCATCTTTTCCTTAAAAGAAAGAAAGAGATACTTTGCTTTTGGTTTATTCCAAAGAGAGGTAAATAACGAAAAGGGCTGAGTGTTGTTACGATAAAGAGAAACCAAAGAGAACTTGAAAAGCTTCCATGCACGGAATATTCTTGGTCGGATCATCAATCAAATTAAGATAGACAAACTATGATGCCGTGGATGTTTTTGTAGAGTACTTTGGTACGAAGTTACATAAATGCTGCTCCCTTAATTAATTGTGTGTTGTTTTGGTTAACACTTTGTAACATAGACGGACAAGGCTTCACTGCTTGCAGAAGTAATCCAACATCTGAAGGAGCAAAAACGGAAAACTTGTTTGATAGCAGAAACGAGTGCCGTCCCGACCGAAACGGATGAACTAACAGTGGATACATCGGACCAAGACGGTAAGATTATGATAAAAGTTTCATTCTGCTGTGAAGATAGGTCGGATCTTTTGCCTGACCTAATAAAGACATTGAAAGATTTACGTCTAAAAACACTACAAGCTGAGATCACAACGTTGGGTGGGCGTGTCAAAAATGTACTCTTCGTTACCGGAGAGGAAGACAGTGGTGTTCAGCAGCAGCGATATTGTATTAGTTCAATACAAGAAGCATTGAAGTCGGTGATGGAGAAGACTTGTGGGGATGAGTTTTCTTCAGGTAGTGTTAAGAGACAAAGAGCCAACGCCAGTGTTCTTGAACAAAGGCCTCTTTTAACTTATAAAAGGCCATGAACTAGTCGACTACTTCATTTCTTTTTTCTTTTCGTTTGTGTGTTTTTTACAAGTGGAACAAATGATGAAGATGATGTGTTGTTTTGTGTGCTTAAAACAATTATTTCAAATAAGCAAGAAATCAATTCTAAAGACTTGTTGAAGTAAGGAGAAAGAGAGGTCTGGACCGCTGAAGTGAAATGAAACCCTAATGAGAATGCAATGTGTTTTTTTCCTTCTAAAAAGCAATAGCATGCATTTATAATATCAACCCGAAAGGGCATCTACAAACACTTGGTTCGAATGTATACATAGGAATAGAAAGGCAGGGTAGCAGATAATGGCCACACGGGCATGCAGGCGAATGTGGGCATGACGATCCAACCAAATGAAACCCAGCAGGCACGGAGAGGTCAACAGTTGAGGTGCATCAATCTCCACAATAACATTTTCAGCATGCAGTTCAACGGAAGTGGTGGCCAATGCCAACGACGGGAATGGCATGTCCAGCAACCACTAGGCTACGCAGAAGCAGTATACGTTGATTTTCAAAGTCTGAATCAGTGGCTTTGTCCATCGCGTAGGAGATTCATACAACAGAATAATGAGTGCCCAAAGCTGTCTGCAACGCGGTGCTATCCCAGATAATGTGCCATCCGGGAAGGCGACCACCCTCATCAATCAAAATATTCTGACGGTTGTAGAGTAGCACCAAAAAAATGGATAAACCTCCATACTTCGCGTTTGACTAATATTTAATCGAAATTTATCGTTACTTACATGATTTAACCAAAACAACACGTCCTCTTTTAATGATTATATATTAGTATTAAAAAAATTAAATTTTTAGAAAGATATATTCATATTTAATTCATTAATGATAGATAAAACTATACATCAAATACTTCCTTAAATGCATAGACAAAACTGTCCAAACTTTAAAATTCATTTCCCCCTACATCACATACTTTGGGTTTTTTCAATTTGATTTTATTCTCCTTTCAAAATGTTATATTTTACTTCAAATTTAATATTTTTTTTCAATTCTACCTGTTCTTATCACTTTTTCTAAAATCAAGTAAAAAAAAAATAGAAACTTATCAAGATTCTTGAGATGCAATAAACACTTGGAAAGTTCACAAATACAAGATACAATGGTCTCCCTTTCATGCGGTCAAGGTATTATCACCATTGCTTGTTGCTTTTTTTGGTTACAAATGATAGCACTGTATTATCAATATTAGTAGGTACACATGTTAGTGTATGACGGTTGAGGTTGTTAATGATGATTGAGGTTGTTAGAGTGATTAGGCAGTCTGTTAGGGTTATAACAATCTCTATGAGTTGTATATAAAGAGCTAGCACTGTGTACACAACACATGCATAATTTTCCTTAATTAACATTGCTATATTCTTCTTATTTATGGTAGTTTAACATGGTATCTTTCACTATTGGTCTTGGGGTTCTTTGTTCTCGCTTAAAAACAATTTTTCAGTTTGGCTCTTTGCTCATGAATTTCTCTTCTGGTGCTTCTCGAGGGTTTGGCCAACAAGAAAGTAAATGTGATTCTTGATGAATTTAACTTCTTGCTTTGGAAACAACGTATCTTTCTCATGATTCGGAGTCATCGTCTGGAGCAGCTGCTGACCAGTGTTGTTTCTCCTCCACCGATGATTGTTCTTGATGCAAATAGTGAGATCCAAACAAATGAGGCACATGAAGACTTCATTGCACAAGATAGTGTGCGTGTGTCATGATTACTATCTATGGTTAGTCCACATCTTCGGTCTCAGTTTGTTAGAGTCGAAACCGCTGATGCAGTTTAGGAGACGATGTTTAAGTTTTTTGCAAACCACTCTACTATGGCCGTTATGAGTTTTCACTAAAAGTTGCAGTCCATGAGGAAGAGAAATGAAAACATGCCACTAGTAGAAAAAATCCCTTTAATGACGCGCATTGCGCGTCATCTATGGGTGTGGATAACACACATTTGCCTGTCGTTGAAGCCACCGACATGAATTTAAGATGATGCAACTGTGCGTCATAAATTTCATAAATTTATGACACGCATTTGTAACTTACATTGCATGTCATTGAAGCACACGTCATTAGAAAAGATGACACATATTCGTGTGTCGTGATTGTATGTCATAAATCATATATATATATATATATATATATATATTGTAGATTGACAAATAATCAAACTAAATCACATTTAATGCCTCATAATACTAAATATATATATCATATTATATATAAGCAATCCATTTGCATACAATATATTAACATTAATTTATCAAAAATATTGTAATCATATGTCGATACAAAATATCACGGAATAATAAAGTTTTCCACATAAGATACCCATTCTTTGTGAATATCAAACATGTCGACGTTGTGGGAGATGCAACTCCTCTAGCTTCTTCTGCAATTTTGAAGTTGCTTCTTCAGAGTCGAGAACTCTTGAAACAGGCTGCGAATGAGCATTGGCTTCAACTGAACTAGTAGGAACATCAGATGTACCAGTTGTTCCCGAACCCTTCCCAAAATTAGAGCTGATCACCTTTGGTTTCCACTCCTTATTTGAACCAACTGCTGATGACATATAGGAATTAATACTTTGCATATATTAATCAAGCATCAACTATATTCAGGTGAGAACATAAAGTAGTCCAAACATTTGTAAAGAGAAAATGTAATACCCCAAAAATTTATATAATGACCAAAATGCAAATTTTGAAAGTTTGATGGTCAAAGTAGAAATTTGGGAAAAATTTTAGGGAATTAAGTGATAATTTCCTAAAAAGAATTTGTATTCCATAAATAGATGGTTTTCTCTTGATAGTGGAGTTATAGAAATCATATTTTTTTTGGATTTGGAATTTTAGTAAAGAAAAACTAGAAATGGTTAAAGTCGGTAAGGAAATCGGTATTTCAGATCGAATTGGATTTTTACAAAAATTTAAGGATGTTATAAAATGGTTGGAAATGTTATTTTAATATTTTGGATCAGAGAAATTTGGTTTGGAATTGTGCAAATTTCCAGATTTAACCGAAACAGTAAAATTTAGTTACTAAAACGTAATTTTTGAAAATTCAAGGGGAATTTCGGAATTAAAAGTCAAAATAATTTAGCTTTGACTTTCAAATATGATAAGGATGAGTTGTCATGGTTTTATGGTAAATAAGAAGATTCATTAAGAGTAATTTGGTCATATCCCAATTAAACGAATATAATATTCATTTATAGTGGAATACAGAGTAAAATAAGATGAATGCACCCAAATTTGCTATCTTCTTCTCCAAATCAGCCATGGGTTCTCTCTCAAGGTAAGAGAAAAATTTCAACTTAATTTCTAAGCAATTTACTTAGGATATTGAGTAAGTTGTAAATAGAAAATTGTTATACGTGAAAAACTCTATCTTTTGGTACCAATATTGCATGGTAATCTTGTTGGTGTTCAAAGATTCCAAATTTAAGGGTTTGTGTTCATATAAAGAGATCTTGAAATTGAAGATGGATTTTGATGTTTGTGAGGTAGTAGATTCATATTCAAGCATGTATGATGATTAGAACATGTTTAATCTTTCTAGAACTTGTTCTTTAAATTTCGACCATGAATGGTTTGAGTGAGGAAAATTATGGAAAAATTATAGATGGGTTGGAAATGATGAAGGAAGTATTCTATAGGCCTCAGAAAAATTTTGGGATCATTTCTTAAGTTTTGAAAAGTTGGGGATAAATATGTAAATTTTGGAAAATTGATGAAGAACCTAGGGATGGAGTTGAAAGAAACAGTTAGATTCTGAATTTGGCAGTAGGTTCGAAAATTCACCAGAAAGTATATAAAAATAATTTGGAGATTATTTTTATATATTTGTGTTTATATATCGATCTAGTTTTGTTTAAAATAAACGGTGATCAATTTCAAGGTGAATATAAAAAGATATGAATTTTTAACCAAGGCAAGGTCAGAAAAATCGGACAGCAGATTCTGCAAAACAGATTCTGTTGGTCAACTTTCAAAATCCATCATAAATTGTACAGAATGAATTAGAAGGATTTATTTATATGGATAGATTCATATTTGAGTCTAGTTTTCAACGAAATAAACGGAATTGAATTAAAGTGTGTATATCAGTACAGAATACTAATTCTTTAAAGGTAGTGCAAGTTGTCAGAATATGAAAATTTTAGAAAGGTTGGTGATTGTAATACAAATTTCGAATTGTTGGGAATGTTATTGTAATTATGCCTTTGTGTACTTGGTTGATAATAATTTTAATACTGGAATTTTTGTATTGAAATTCTAAGTGATAAAATGGTGAAGGACCATTTTGTGTAAGTTGGAAAAGTTGGTTCCAATGTTAAAAGGAAATTATTAAGTATTAAGTATTTTGATAGTTAATGAGTATCAAATATACTATGGAATTATTTTGAGATATGTTTATGTTAGCACAATACTAACATATGTATTGTTATAAATTTTTGATTTATACAGATCATGGTTGATTTGCAATTGAAGCAAGTCAAGTATAAAAAGGGTATATTGTGGACAATAGTGTGGCACAAATATTTTGTAAGATATAAAGTGTCAAGGTGAGTGCAATACATGCATGAAATTATACATAGATGTTTTATACATCATAAGGAAGACTTGCGATAAGTCGACCTTGTTTATATCAACATGATATTATGTCATTTTTATAAATTGACATGACATTGAGATGTTACTGTATGAAATTATAATGCATTGATTATGGAAAATGTGATATTTTACCATGAATGTTTTTGGGTATGAACTGCCCCATTGTTAAATTTTGATAATATACATTGCCATGGATGATCAAATAAAATTGACTATATGCCCAAGTATGTTATTGAGGATCAGTGGTATTAATGTCATGCCATAGAGTCTAGCAGCTGCAATATTAGGTAGTACTAGAGTGTCTAGAGAAGACACATAGTGCAGGCCTCAAAGTGTCTAGCGAAGACACGGTATAAGCACTACGGTGCATTATTAGGTGAGCAAAGCTCTACCTCAGCACTTCGGTGCAATATTTGACTCCTATATCGGGTTCCTCATACAGTTATATTATGGGCTATGAGTTATGATTTAATGGTTAATAAATGGTAAGTATGAA